TATCAGTATGAAACATAATGCACTGAGCTTAAAAAAATTAAAATAAAACCAAATAAAAGAAGCATCTTTGTGATCTTCTAGAATGTCCCTAAATAAAATCCATGGAGAAACTCTATTCCTAGAAACATATTTTGCCTTAGTCAAATTGAGAGATGTCCATTGAATAATGGACTACAGACAGTAAAATTGAAGGCTTTATAACAGACTAGAGGAGGTACTAGCAATATCTACCCAACAAGGGGTTCTAATATTTAAAATATGCACAGAGGGGAACCTGGCTGGCTCAGTCCATTGAGCATGAGACCCTTAATGTTGGGGTCATGAGTTTGAGCCCACACTGGGTAAAGAGATTACTTAAATAAAAATAAATAAATAAGAAGAAATAATAAATAAAATAAAATATGCACAGTGTTATAAATATGTAAGCAAAACAAAAATTAATAGAAAAGCAAGAAAAGGATGTGAACACATCAACCACTGCATGAAAACCACTAATGGCTAAACAGTATATGAACAATGCTCACATACCAGATGAAAAACAAATTAAAAATAATAAGATACAAATTACATCCATCTAGTTTTTTTTTTTTTTTTTTTTACAAATAGTTTATTGTCAAATTAGTTTCCACATAACACCCAGTGCTCATCCCCACAAGTGCCCTCCTCCATGCCCATCCCCCCCTCCCCCCCACATCCATCAGTCCTCAGTTTTTGTCAGCATTCAAGAGTCTCTCATGGTTTGCCTCTCTCCCTTTCCCCCACCATTTCCCCCCTTCTTCTTCCGATTGGTCCTCTGTTAAGTTCCTCCTAGTCCTCCTATACGTGCACAATGAAATCTGGCCATGTGTAGCTACATGGATGGACCTTGAGGGTGTTATGCTGAGCGAAATAAGTCAGGCAGAGAAGGACAAACATCCATCTAGTTTTTTAAGAAAAGATAATAGTATCAAATGGTTTAAAGAATGTGTAAAATAAAGACAATTTAGGAATTTTTATTGAGATGTTTAAATACTTTGGAGAGAAATTTGGTAATTCTTAGTGAAATTAAATATTTTTATGTTATAACTGAAAAAAATCCTCCTATTTGCCTATTTTATATCTATAAGAGAAGACGCACAAGGAAATGACAGCAACATTATTTTTAGTACAACTACTGGTCACTTGGGTGTTGACTACTTACATAAAGAGGGAAAATGCACATATTGGGAATAGAACAGCAGTCAAAAAGAATGAAGTAGACGTACATACAGCAACATGGACAGATGTTTAAGATTTAGTGTTCAGTGTAAACAAAGAATAACATCAGATTTATAACCCAATGATATTTGTATAAAATTCAGTATCCAACCTTTTCTCCCATAAGCATACAAGTAGCTAAATAAGCATACTTAAGATAATTAGGCATATTTTAAGAATCCTGGAGTTTTCACTTTTCTGAGGGAAAGAGAAATAGGAGCGATATTGAGATATACAGAAGAAAGGAAATAAAAATGAAGCAAAAGAAGGGCTTTCAAGAGACAGATGACAATGACACATTGTAGGGAATATATTCAATGGTAATGTAATACCTCTGTATGATGATAGATGGTAGCTACACTTGTGGTGACCATAGCATAATGGATAGATTTGTTGAAACACTATGTTAGATATCTGAAACCAATGGAGTTTATCTGGCAACTACACTAAAAAAAATTAATGAAAATAAATAAATACATAATAAAGAAATGTTTGCTCATGAATTATGGAAGGGTATGAATAATTCACATGATGTTCAAAAAGAAAGTTAAAAAAAAGAACAATCATGTTTCCTAATACACAGTTATACATACATCCCACTTAAAATTTCCTCACCAAAGAAAACATTTCTATTGGCTTTACTCTCTGAAAAAACATATTGCATTTTCTCAGGAATATTTTTTTAGGTTTCCCTTGCATTTTCATCCTTATAATGCAACGATAAAAGTCATGATAAGTTAACATGAATACATTCATTAGGATGCATTGGGAGGTACCTATCTAACAATTGTGTTCTGGAAGCCCATGAGAATTTCTTAGGGGGGTTATCGGGCCCCTAGAGGGCACCAACAGTGCGTGTGCAAATGACTGTGAACGTGGATGGATGGATGTAAGACCCCTACCCCCAGGAGACTAACTGCCTACAGAACACAGTCAATGTTGGGCTGGATTACCAGAGCTCCTTCCTTTTAGAGAGAAAGAATATTATTTTCTTCTCCTACCTGCCTGCCTATCTGTCCCAGGAGGACATTTTAGGCGCAAGGAATTAGGGATGGAAAGTTCCCTGAGAGCAAAGTCCCCGAGGCTCTGGAGTTATAACTATGCACAGATACTTCAGGAACTGACCCTCCAATATCAGTGAGGTCAGACTTCTGCTCCATCCTCTGTAAGTGAGTCTGGGTAGAGGGTGCCTGAGAGGTAGCTATACCAAGATTAACTAAAACTGGAGGAGACCTTTCTTTTTTGTCAGATCTATGTTCCATTCCATTCCTGAGTCAGTACTGATGAAGTAGTCTGAAAATAGGGCAGTAAACACTATATCCTGTCTCAGGTCAGGAGGTACGTGTTATAACTTAGGCTCTGAGATCTTCCCTTTTGTCCTCCTCTTGCTACTTTGGATTTTTGCTGGGTGATGCCAGATAGGGAGAGAAGCAGGAATTTGTGCATAGGAGATTAATGAGTGGAGGGGTCAGGAAAGTGTATTATTTGGAGCTCAGCTTAGAAATTTTTGGGTTTTCATCTGTGAATATGAAAATTTATTCACAGATGTGGGCAAAGAATCTGTCCATAAATGTTTGAATCATGACATAGGAATTAAATTTAATCTATAGAACTACAGAACTAAGGACACAGACACAGTTGGAGGGCTAGAGAGAGTCAGAAGATAGTTCCTCAGATTTCAGCTCAATCTAAAGAGTTTGTAAAAGCTACTGCTGCCACAAACAAAAAATTTTGCACAGATCATAGAGGTAGGTATCTGTTACTGGTTGGTTCAGATCAATGATGTCTGAAACGATACTTGGGAGAGATATCTCACAATCTATCTGAGTTTATGAAGTTAGTTGGTTCCTAACAACCCTTCCACTCCTTCAAACGGAGCTTCCATAGTGCTATGCTCGGGGCCAAACTGCAGCCCGGGATAAAGATTGCCCTGCACGTCTCTGCTTTTGTCATTGCCCTTCAACCTCACTGGCTTCTTCATTCTGTCCCTACCTGGAACCGGCAGTCATTAGCTCTAGGTCCTCAGCCTTCATGCTTCATTGGCTAGCTCTGACTGCAATCCAAGATTGAAAGAGGGGGGAAAAACATATATGGTATCAGATGCTTTACTTCTCGAGCTGAGTAGGTAGGTCAATGCTTGATGAATCTATTGTAGATTGAAGAATATGTAGAAATGTTCCAGAGAAAAGAGGAGAAAGGAAGAATCAGTGAGTGGAAAAAACAGATTAAAAAAATCCTCCTAGGCTGTCTTCAGAAATTTTATCCTGCTGCTAGACAGTTATCCCAAAGTACTTCAGTAGAAAAAGAGAACATAGTTCTTCCTCTATACTTGTACATGGATACTCGTGTCTGAATTGCCATTTCTTCCATGTGGCTGTACTCTCCAAAGCTCATTTAAAGATTTTCCCTCTGTGCATGAAAAGAAACCCTAATTCCTTCCAAGAATACTTTGACACCCCTGAAGAAGGAAAGCTTCTTGGAGACGGTAAGATTTGGGTCTCTCTTGCAACGGTTAGTTGTAACAATTTTGTAGAGAGTAGAATCAGAGAATACAGTAAGCAAAGATCAAATGACTAAACCTAAAGGACGAAAGTGGTGTTTAGGGGGAATATTGCCAATATATTGGCAGCCTGATATTGTACATGCTGTGGGTCACTGTGGCAAGGACTGGGCTGAGCTGGTGCTATTAGTTATGCCTCAAACTTAGATGTGAATGAATCCTATGAAAAATATGACAGAAAGACAGAGTTCAATGAACACAGTGTCCAAGACAGGAGAAGGACCTTAAGTCAAAACTCAAGGCTCAATGTTTTTTCCTATGGGTTTTTATATTCAGAAATCTCCTGAACTTCCAGTATCTCCAAGGCTTTGTGGGCCACTCCACCATGGCAAAGCATAGAACCACGAGGCAAGAAAAACTGGATCATTATATTGATGATATAAAAAGAAACAGAAAGGGGATAAAAGAACTTTTAAAGGTAGACTTTATCACCTTCGCACTATGGCAATCAGAATAATCAACTTTCATCTCTCACATACCTATGTGTGATTGCCTATGCTCCTTTTAAGATTGCTTTTTCCAGAAGTTAAGAATCCTACAAATATGAGGTTGGATAAAGGAGCAAGCAGTTTTCTGGCAAGACCATACCATCCTAACTACAATGACTTTTTAGACAAAATGATAAGTACCCTACTTTATTTTCAGGGTATTATTTTAAAAATATAATTAAAGCAAACTCCATCTGAAAACTCAGAAGGGGGATGGCATGGACAACTAGGGAATTTACCTGAGTCCCTATTTGTGCCAGTTTCTACTACTCACCTGCACGACCTGTTATGGTTAAATTATCATATGGTAGTCTATGTGGCCATTAAAGAAAATTGAAAACCAAAAGAAAGAAACTTGTAAGAATAATTTAGAAACTCACTGGTCACAAAGGACTTCTGAAATAATTTTGTCCTCATCTTTACTTTTGACAAAGATATAACAATTCTACTAATAATCACCATTGAAAGAATCAAGCATTTATACGTAAACCATATTATCTCAGTTCTCTATACTGTTCACTGGTAAAACCATCTAAGTAGCATGGCACAAAAGATAAATGCATGAATTTACATGGCTCTGGATGACTGGCTAGGACTCAAACATTACATCTAGGTGGAGCAAATTGTTCTAAATCCAAGTGTCATGAGTCAGTGACTAATTTTTATCCTAATTTTACAGATCACTAAAAGAAAGCTGTAGAAATATATGACAAAATATGACAGCACACCAAAATGGGACCATCTCCTCTGAGGTTTCAGTCTTCCTCCTGAATTGCTTTGTCAGGTCCCCTAGCTGGAAATTCTGGTTGTCCCCGCCCCTTAGCCTCCTCTTTCTTTTAGCCATGGGGGCTAATAGTGTTCTCCTGGTCACCATCCGGCTGGAGGCATCTCTGCATGAGCCACTGTACTACCTGCTCAGCCTTCTCTCTCTGCTGGACATCATTGTCTGCCTCACTGTCATCCCCAAGGTCCTGGCCATCTTCTGGTTTGACCTCAAGTCCATCAGCTTCTATGCCTGCTTCCTCCAGATGTACATCATGAATTGCTTCCTTTCCATGGAGTCCTGCACATTCATGGTCATGGCCTATGATCGCTATGTAGCCATCTGCCACCCACTGAGGTACCCATCCATCATCACTGACCAATTTGTAGCCAAGGCTGCTATCTTTATTTTGGCCAGGAATGGTATTTTAACAGCGCCTATCCCCATTCTATCATCTCGACTCCATTACTGTGGGACAAATGTCATTGAGAACTGCATCTGTGCCAATATGTCTGTCTCCAGGCTCTCTTGTGATGATGTCACCATCAATCGCCTCTACCAGTTTGCTGTAGGATGGACCCTGCTAGGATCCGACCTCATCCTCATCTTTGTCTCCTACAACCTCATCCTGCGAGCTGTGCTGAGACTCAAGGCTAAGGGTGCTGTGACCAAGGCCCTGAGCACATGTGGCTCCCACTTCATCCTTATCCTCTTCTTCAGCACCATTCTTCTGGTCTTCGTGCTTACTCTTGTGGTGAAGAAGAAAGTCTCTCCTGATGTGCCAGTCTTGCTCAATGTTCTCCATCACGTTATCTTCTCAGCCCTCAACCCCATTGTGTATGGAGTGCGAACCCAGGAGATCAAGCAAGGAATTCAGAGATTGCTGAAAAAAAGTGTGGTAATAAGGACAACTGGATCTCTGCATTCCTAACATAAAATGAGTTTTGTCAATATGGGTAAGTGGGCTAAAACTCATATCTATGAGTTGCAATCTCAAAATGGGTAATTTGAATATTGTGTCTTCTTTAAAAAGTTAAGTTTCACTGTATAGTTTCCCTTTTTCTCATTTCTCCCTATTTAGGAATATCTTTTACCCTTTTCTCTTTTCCCATACTTATTATCCTATATAGACAAAATACTGAGATTCCTTGGGGGAGGTTCTAAAGTGAGAAATTTCTGTTCCTGAATATGCAGCTGTTATTATATCATGCCTTTACATTCTTGAATACACAACTATGGATATTTGGGGGTAGAGTTGTTTAACGTGCAATGCATTCTTATTCTTATTTCCACAGAAGGGATCATATTGGAGACAAAGATATAGCAGTGAAATTTCACTTCTGAGTGATGGAAGGTTTCTTCTTTTCTCTAATTGGGTCTGAAATTGGGTGATCATTCCAAATGAGCATTCCAAGAGGACAGGATTTTTCTGTCCTGGATTTCTCATTTGTGCAACAATTATCAATGAGGTTGATTAGAGTTAAGAGACTCAAATTCTCCTCCCCAATGGCTTTGTCCTTTGCACATTTATCTTTTCAATCCAGGGTGTCATAGTTTAGTTCAATCTAGGGTATATAAACATAGTTTAACTAATGAGTTAAAGATTTCAAGGATTGTATGATCCAGTAATAATTTAAATATAAAATTTTAATACCTGAACTTTATTTTCATATTAACTGGACAATTTCTAAGAATACTTTGTGTCCTAGGAATTCTGTTAGCTATTAAGACTCTAAAAAGACAGAAAATTGTGTCTTTTGGGAGCTCAAAGTTTCCTTTGGAGGAATAAAAATATGAGTTCCAGGAATATATTCTTCTCAATGGAGACAATGGGGAATGGAATAATGTACCTACTGGCAGTAGGGTACCTGGCAACTTAGGAAAGCACTGGATAGAGAGTTAAAAGTCTGAATTATAAGCCTTGAACAGCTACCAAAAAAAATGATGGATTCTTGGAAACAAATGAGGTGGTCTCCTTGTGTGTCATGTTACTCATCAGTTACTCCTTTGAGAATAGTGAATAATTGTTTTAGAAAATATTCTCTATATATAAGCTTTTGTGCCTCAATAGGAACCTATAAGTATGTTTCCTTGTTTAGACCATGGAAGGAAAATCTCTAAACTATCTAATGCAAAAACTGTTCCCCAAATCTAGGTCTTTCAACCTTCACAGAAAGCACCTGGATTCATCCCTGGCCACTTAAGCTCTCACTCAGCACAAGTCTGTACATTTCTTTTATTTCTCTATTGCATAGTGATGAATAACTACTTGGTATTTCATTCCTCTGCTTCTGGATATCACTATAAACTACTATTTGAAAAAATAAACATGTACTCACATAAGTAAAAGCAATGGTTAAAAGCATACAATCAACATTTTAACTGGGAATAATATATTTATCAAAGGTAAAAAAAAATAGAATGTCAAGATCCAATTAAGTTCAATAATGGATAACATTTTTCTTTGTTACTTGAAAAAGAATTCCTAAATATCTCATTCTCTCACCTATTTCAACATATAAAGAAAAATGACTTTGTTGAAGGTGTACCTAAGTGTATACCAACAGGAAGATCTTACAAATATGAAGAAATAATATGCTGAGGTAAATTTAAGCTACTATCTCTTAGGAAATAGTACAAGTCTACTGGTTTAAACATTTTCAAATATTAACATCTTTTCATTAAGGACCAAAAACCTTTCAGAACTAATCTCTATCAGGGTCACATTGCATAACAAACCCAGATCCCTCATATCATCTTTCAAAAAATTTGAGAACTGAATGCATAAAAAGAGCTAATCAGGGGGTTTGAAGAATATACAACTCAACACTGAGAAAATTTGGCACAAGTCTTGTCTCCAACACTGAGAAAATTTGGCACAAGTCTTGTCTCCAAATTAGTCTGGTAAAATATTTGTATCTAAAACATATATTTTTGTTGAGTACTGGGTGTTGTATGTAAGTAATGAATCTCTAAATTCTATACCTGAAACTAATATCACACTGTGTGTTAACTAACTGTAATTTAAATAAAAACTTGAGGAAAAAATATTTCTGAAAGCTTTGCTTTATTGTGTTTATATGCAGCTTTTACACGTTTATGGCTCACATCAAAGCAGTATTGATAAATCCATTTGATAAACATGGTGAAAAGATTAACGATGGGTTTTATCCCATTAAAAGAATTGATACTAATAAGTATCTCCTCTAGAACAGTGTTGTCCATTGTGACACACACACACACACACACACACACACACACACTTAATTTTAAATGTTTTAAAAGTCATATTAAAGTATGAAAAGAAAAGTCTAAATGGACTTTAATAATTATTTTGTTGAATCCATTATATCTAAAACACTATCATTTCAAAACATAATAAATATGGTAATTTAATAATTAAATATATTACATTCCTTTTTTGTATGCTAGGTCTTCTAAATCAAGAGCTTACACTGACAGCATATTTTAGTTAGGACTGTCACATTTCAGGTGCTAGTAGATAATCAGGACTATCACATTACATGTGCCTAGTAGATACCATATGGATCAGTGTAGCACAAAACATATGGTTTTAAAAAGCAAATGAATGTACAGAAATTGGTTGCATTTTTATATGCCAATAATGAAGCAACAGAAAGAGAAATCAAGAAACTGATTCCATTCACAATTTCACCAAAAACCATAAAATACCTAAGAATAAACCTAACCAAAGATGTAAAAGACCTGTATACTGAAAACTATAGAAAGTTTATGAAGGAAATTGAAGAAGACACAAAGAAATGGAAAACATTCCATGCTCATGTGTTGGAAGAACAAATATTGTTAAAATGTCAACACTATCCAAAGCAATCTACACATTCAATGCAATCCCAATCAAACTTGCACCAGCATTCTTCTCAAAACTAGAACAAACTATCCTAAAATTTGTATGGAACCACAAAAGACCCCAAATAGCCAAAGTAATATTGAAGAAAAATACCAAAGTGGGAGCCATCACAATCTCAGACTTTAGCCTCAACTACAAAGCTATAATCATTAAGACAGTATGGTATTGGCACAAAAACAGACACTTTTACCAATGAAGTAGAATAGAGAACCCAGAAATTGATGCACAAATGTTCGGCCAGCTACTCTTTGACAAAGCAGAAAAGAGCATCCAATGGAAAAAAGACAGCCTCTTTAACAGATGGTGCTAGGAGAACTGTACAGCAACGTGTACAAGAATGAAACAAGACCACTTAGTTACACCATACACAAAAATAAACTCAAAATGGATAAAAATCCTAAATGTGAGATAGGAAACCATCAAAACCCTAGAAGAGAAAGCAGGAAACCTCTTTGACCTCAGCTGCAGCAATTTCTTACTCGAAAAATTTCCAAAGGCAAGGAAATTAAATGCAAAAATGAACTATTGGGACCTCATCAAGATAAAAAGCTTCTGCATAGCTAAGGAAACAATCAACAAAAGTAAAAAAAGTCAAAAAGCAACAGACAGAATGGGAGAAGATATTTGCAAATGACATATCCGATATCCACCCCCACTCAATTTTTTTCTGCTTGAGCATCGACTCCCAAAACACCTTGCTGATTGGCATCTTGGAGTGACTTATTCTGGCCCTGATATGATGACTACACCTTGGGAAGGAAATTATTGTAGCTTGGAAAAACGTTGACGCTTAGTAATCTGGAAATAGTGATCAGGACTGAGTAATTGATGACACAAAAAAGTCAGCTATTGCCTTCGGGTTTACATTAATAAAATAATAACTTTGGTACAGACTGATGTACTATTCCTGGGCATGGATGACCTTATAGGAACTATAAGCCCTGTGGCTAATGTTTAGATGTTTTCTTTTGTGGTTATGGGAGTGTAAGGACACAAGTCAAAACAGACTGACACTATAACAGGCTTTAAGTTTCCCCTCTAAACTAGAAGGCCTAAGTTTCAGTTTCCCTGAAACTATCAGGCAGTCACACATTGCCCAAGGCCAGAGAAACCGCCCACCACATCACTCCACCACACCACGCTTGCAACACCCAATCAAGAAAGGCCATCAACTATAGATAAAACTCTGTTACCTAATATTAAAGTTAACCCATTAGGCTCCGAACAAGACCCTAGGCTCGCTCTGTAATTGGTTAAATTTAAAAGTACTCTAAATTTTGTAATTGGGTCTCACCAAAAGTAACAAATACTCTAGACAATGTGTATGGTTAAACCCGCTGTCAATGATATTGTATAATTATGATTGGATCACTGTTCCCATGCCACAATTTGTGTAACTCCCCTGTCACAAACGCCATAAAAACCCTACTCTGCCTTTGTTCAGGGCTCACAGCATGGATCCACTGTGCTGGTAAAGTCTGTGAGCCCAGGCTCGAGCCCGTAATAAAGCCCTTTGCCTTTGCATGAGTGACTTGGTCTCCCCAGTGGTCTCTGGTCGTTGAGGATACTGCGATCTAGGTATAACAGGAGCAAACCTTGCTTTTCCTGAAAAACCTGTTTTTCTTAATACTTCCCATTAAGTGATAAATAGGCTATTGACCCCTGCTCACAAAGAACTAACTTTTGCCTTTACTATGCTAAAAACATTATCCTGTTTGTATTTGAATGCTAAAGATACCTTCCTTCCTCATATGATGAGCATGGGGATTACGGAGTGCTCTTGTCATGATGAGTATTGGGCGCTGTATGCAATTTTTGAATGTGTCCTCTTGAAGCCAATTTAACACTGTATGTTAACTATACCGGAATTTAAAATAAAATTTAAAAAATATAAAGTTTTTACTTTAATTTAAAAATAATAAGTAAATAAATAAATAAGAAATACATACCAATAGAGGCCTACCTCAAGAAACAAGACAGAGCTCAAACAATCTCACCTTACAACTAAAGAAACTGGAAAAAGAACAAAGAAAGCCCAAGGT